TTCAACAAAGAGAAAGAGGAGTCAACCGGTGGCAGCTGGGGGCCGGAGTGAGTGCAGACACCAGGGCTCTCGGCAGTGGCTCAGATCCAGAAGTGGTTCACACCAGCTCCTACAGCCTCCCACGTGGCTCGCTCGGGCTGAAAGCTTGCTTGCTCTAAGCTGGGGAACTCTGACATCCATCATCCAGCTCATGTTAATTCTCACAACAACCCTTTCGGGGAGGAGCCATGGCTTTCGCTTATGGATGGGAAAACAAGGGCATCTGAATTGAGTTCTCAGGGCTTCCTGCATTTCCCCATGCCTTTTCCCTACTGAGCCTTTTAGTCACTGGCTCAGGAGAGGGCTGTAGCAAAGCACCAGATAGAAATAGCTCCGCAAGCCAAAGCTCTAGCAGGAACAGTCTCAGGGAGGGCTAAATGCCTTGGCCTTAAATGGGGTCAGTGAGCTCTGCTCCCTAAGCCGCAAAGCCTTTCTCCTGGCGGGGGGTGAGGGGAGTCTGCCAGTGGCTGGTGGGCAGCGAGGCCATGCCGGTGCGTCAGAGCAAGCAGGACCCAGGCAGCCTTCGGAGGCCTCCTGCGCTTCCATTGTGGCCCGGCAGCACAGCTGTGAGCCCCCAGGGGACCCTGCACTGGGACTGAAAGCAGGGGGTCACAGTGACCTTTCTGCTACCTTGGTATTTGCCTAATTCAAGTCTTTGTTTTGCTTTTTGTTTCTTAGGTTGAGAGGCAGAGAGAGGCAAAGACAGAGATAGACAAGAGATCTTCCATCAGCAACAACCAGGGCTATGACCAGCAACAGACAGGGATGGACCAGGCTGGAGCCAGGAGCTAGGAATTCTATCCTGGGTCCTCTACACAGTGGCAGGGACCCTAGTATTTGAGCCATCACCTGCTGCCTCCCAGGGTGCACATCAGCAAGAAGTTAGAATTGAAGGCAGAGCTGGGACTCGAACCCAGGCACTCCGATGGGATGCAGGTGTCAGGCGTCCCAAGCGGTGCTTTCACTGCTAATACCAAATGCCTGCTCTAAGATCATGTTTTTAATGTACAAATGTTTCTGCTGCGAGTAAAACTATTACTTCCAATAGAAATAACTAATTTCCTCCTTTCCCTTACATTACAGACCATTACATCTGTTTTTCAAGTGTTTTAGGTTGTTTTTTTTTTTAAGATTTATTTATTTGGCTCTAATGGCCAGGGCTGGGCCAGACTTAAGAAAGGAGCCAGAAGCCTCCTCTGGGTCTTCCACATGGGTGCAGGGGCCCAAGCACTTGAGCCATCCTCTGCTGCTTTCCCAGATGTATTAGCAGGGAGCTGGACCAGAAGAAAGCACCCGGGCCTTGAACCAGTGTCCATATAGGATGCCAGTGCTGCAGGCAGCAGCCTAACCCATTACGCCACAGTGCTGGCTCCCCAGACCCTCACACTTTTATCATAATATGGGTTTAGCTATACTTAGTATCATGAAGACAGTGGACTCTAATCAACCAGCTGGGATCAAAATCCACCTGAGAGGTTTCCAGAGAATCTCAGCCCATTAAACAATAGAATCATCTACAAGTATCCATGCTAAAAGCAGGACCTCAGGTTGTCCTCATTTTATAGCTGGTGATTCTGATTCAGAGAAGTGAAATAACTTACTCAATGTCACACAGCAAGGACTCAAGCCCAGGCCATCTGGCTTTGAAGACAGCATTTCCAACCACCATGCCAGCATTTGGGCTGGCACCATACACAGGGAGCCACCCGAACATCAGAAGGTTCTTAGCAGGCCTCGGCCTTATAAAGTGGACCCCTCAGCAAGGGAAGCACCACATCCAAGACAGAGAGCTTGCCCCGAGGAGCTCCCCTGAGCCGGCGAGGAAATGCATACACTACACACACTAGCTCAAGGCAACAACAATGCAGCACAGGAGCGATGGGACTGCCCTAGTGGTCTGCACCGCGGAACAGCAACCACCAGCCCACAGGCCAGGATCCTGGATGTGCTTGCCTCGGCTTTCTTACCTCTGTGGTGTGGGGTACGCTTGATATGGAAGGTCCCCCCAGCACTGCTACCATTTTTGTCTACTCTGCCTCACTCATCCTCTGCCAGCCTGACTCCCTCCGCTGGCCGGGACTCTGACTCACTGCTGCCCTGGGCTAGCAGTCCCCTGAATGAGCCAACCTCACTCGAACTTCACAACTGTCACCTTTTCCAACTTTGTTATCACTTAATTCTAGCATCAAAACATTTCCTTCTGAATTTTGTTTGAAATGCAAGAGCTAACAAATAAATATATATCCACCTAGCTTTCTGCCTATAGATCTTAATTGCTACTTGTTTTTATGAAAATGACATCCTCACTCTGCTGATTTCAAGACTGAAGTAATTAAATACAATGCATCACATGACCAGGCCAGTAAAATTAAATTACTTTCAAAATACAGCATTAGCTGATCCATGTAACCATTCAAGTACACATTTTGATGAAAAATATCTGTGAAAAGAACTTTTAATTTTTTAAAATTGGTATTATTTATTTGAAAGACAGAGAGAGAGAGAGAGAGGAGAGGGGGGAGATAGAGAGAGAGAGAGAGAGAGAGATCTTCCATTCACTGGTTCACTCCCCAAATGACCTCAATGGCCAGAGCTGAGCTGTTCTGAAGCCAGCAGCCAAGAGCTTCTCTGCCTCGGGTGCAGGGCCCAAACACTTGGGCCACCTTCCACTGCTTTCCCGGGCCACAGCAGAGAGCTGGATCAGAAGTGGAGTAGCCAGGACTCGAAATGGTGCCCATATGGATACAGGCTGGGGCTTTAACCTGCTGCGCCACAGCGCTGGCCCCCAGAACATTTAATTTTCAAAGGAGGATGCAGGACAGTGAAAGTTTCTAACACAACGAAGTTTTTTAGCTGACAAGGCTCTTTTCCAGTATGTTAGTTCACTACTGATTTTTTTGAAACTATGTGCTAATTTCAGGGAGTTTATAAAATTAATAGGTACAGTCTCTTGCTTAAAAAATAGCAGTTTAATTGGGCAGCCACTGTTCCCCACAGAGCGGCCAATATGAACTTAGGCAATAACACTGCTCAGCGGCCAAAGTCTCCCCGTGCCCCTCAGGAGCGATTACTGGAAGCAGCATGCTCCCAAGAGAAGTAAAGACCACGCCGATAGAAACTTAGCCTGCGTTCATCATCATTTGTTTCCTTCTGAATCACACAGCAGTGTGTGCAAACTCAAGCTTTTATATGAAAGCCACAAAATGTATTTTACTTTGAAAAAAGCTTGGATTATATGTAATTCAGTACCTTGTTGATAGATTTAGGAAAGTCTAATAGTAGGAAGACAGTAATTTTAGAAAGCATATCTCAGAACATTACAAAACATTTAAACATGAATGATTTTGCAATGTGTTAAAAATAGACATTTAGATATATTATCTTATTTTACTCTCTTATAAGCTCCAAATCAATCTTATTTTTATATTTGGATGATAAGTCTTTCGAAATTTCCCAGTTTTTAAAAAGACTAACATTTTTTTTTTTGATAACAGAAGGAAAAGATTTCAATAACAAAGCCAATCATATCTTAGCCTAGACTAAATAAATTTTTTGAAAAAAATGTTTTGGTGGGTTTTTCATGTATTTATCTATTTTTTTTAAGATTTATTTATTTGGGGGGCAGCCCTGTGGTGCAGCAGGTTAACACCCTGGCCTGAAGTGCCGGCATCCCTTATGGGCGCCAGTTCGAGACCCGGCTGCTCCACTTCCTATCCAGCTCTCTACTATGGCCCGGGAAAGCAACAGAAGATGCCCGAAGTCCTTGGACCCCTGCACCATTGTGGGAGACCCAGAAGAAGCTCCTGGCTCCTGACTTCGGATCTGCACAGCTCCGGCCATTGCGGCCATCTGGGGAGTGAACCAGTAGATGGAAGACCTCTCATTGTCTCTGCCTCTCCTCTCTCTGTGTAACTCTGCCTTTCAAATAAATAAATAAAAATCTTGCAAAAAAATTTATTTATTTGAAAGGCAGAGTTACAGAGAGGGAGGGAGGGAGGGAAGGATGGAGGGAGTGAGGGAGGAAGAGAGACAGAGAGTGAGTGAGCGAGCACGCACAAGCCTGGGATTCCTTTGGGTCTACCACACGGTGGCAGGGGCCCCAAGTACTTGAGCCATCTGCTGCTGCTTTCTCATGTACAATAGCAGGGAGCTGGAAATAGAGTTCAAGATCTAACCCACTGTTTCAACATGAGCTATTACAATTCACCTTTCCTAGATTGACTTAAAATGCCATCTTTGTCTTATTCAACATTTGTAGCCTGTTATGCCTTTGTTGGAACCAAGGATCCCACTGAGGCTGAAGTTTTCTATATTAAAAAGTTTGTTTGAAATGCACCAGAAAAGCACTTCTTTGCTGTCTTTACTTAAAGACCTTGGCCTCCAGACATCAACAAGAGTTATTTCAGAGAACTTTCCGCTACTCCCCTGAAAGATTTTATGTTTATTATTTTAAATCTACCTTGGGATAGCAGTTCTGCCAACAGTCTCAAGGCCCACTCCTTCAGAGTCAGGGTTCTGACTGGGTGGAAGGTTTCTTGCTCTCTCAGGAGGATGTGACTTCTCACATGGTGGACAGACACACGTGGTCTCTTTCCAAATACGAGTGAGAATTCTGGCTTTTCGGCTGTGTGCATCCCTTCCCACCCTTGCCCACCTGAGCGACACAAGAACTATGAACTGGCTGAAAGCTCTGCCAAACACAAAGGCCTCCTTCTCCAAGACCAACAAGCATGACACAGAAGGGAAATGGGAAGGATCCCACTGTGTGCTATTATGCTCAGGGCCAGCCCAAGCCCAAGGCCTCACAGGCCCTAAGCGGCCAGGCACCATTTTCTCCCCTCTTCAAAGAAGGGCTGGGGTTGGAGGACGTGGCGAACCGAGGGAGAGGAGGAGAAATAGTCGCAGCTTTTCTAATACAGTAGCCCCTTGGATCCTCCCCCCTTTCCTCCTCTCCCTTGCAGGGACAAAGCTTTGTCCTTATAGTGGCCTCGCTGGCCTGGCTGCCTAAGAATTCCCTGGATGATAGCAAAGACCGTGTAAAGGCAGAGTGTAAACGTGTGGTCCGGTTCCAGAGGAATGGCTTCCGGGGCCAAGTCAATGGCGGCGAAGTGTGCAGAGGGACTGATGACAGGGGAGACGCACATCGATCCCTCCAGCAGCTGCGTGAGGGGCTGACGTGAGAATGTCTGAAGAGCTGTATTTTGGGTAAGAGCAAATATTTCTCAGTTGATTACCTTTCAGACCCAAGTCATGTTTCAGCGCTTCAACAACATACACCACACTTAAATATTTTTAGTTGAAAAATGCTTGGGATTTTCTGCTCTCCAGCAATCTTACAGCAGTAACACTGAGAGCTAGAGGGAAACAAACAAAAAACTGGGGCCCCAGGAAACGGGAATAATAGATAACTTTCATATTTACATATGAAATGGATGATTAAGTACTTACATGGACATTTTCTACCCACTCTCTTCCCCTTTCCAAGACCAGGTGTAATTCAATGCTGCCCTTTGGGTGTCCGATACTTTCTCAAGACCTATGCTCTCCAGGGGCTGGCGCTGTGGCACAGCAGGTTAAAACCCTGGCCTGAAGCGTTGGCATCCCATATGGGCTCCTCTTCCGATCCAGCTCTCTGCTATGACCTGGGAAGCAGTAGAAGATGGCCCAAGTCACTGGGCCCCTGCACCCACCTGGGAGACCAGGAAGAAGCTCTTGGCTTCGGACCTACACAGCTCGGGCCATTGCGGCCATCTAGGGAGTGAACCAGTGGATGGAAGACCTCTCTCTCTGTTTCTACCTCTCTCTGTAACTCTGTCTTTCAAATAAATAAAATAAATCTTAAAAAAAAAAAAAAGACCTATGCTCTCCCAAGTCATCCCATGCTTCAAAGCTATCTTTTTATTCTGAATTCCTGCTTCTTCAGATCTTCCAAACAAATCACTTTTTAATTCCTTTGCTGGGCCGGTGCTGTGGCGCAGCAGGTTATTGTCCTGGCCTGAGGCGCCGGCATCCCGTATGGGCACTGGTTCTAGTCCCAGCTGCTCCACTTCTGATCCAGCCCTCTGCTATGGCATGGGAAAGCAGTGGAAGATTTCCCAAGTCCTTGGGCCCCTGCACCCACATGGGAGACCCAAAGAAGCTCCTGGCTTCAGATTGGTGCAGCTCCAGCCATTGCGGCCAATTGGGGAGTGAACCATTGGATGGAAGACCTCTCTCTCTCTCTCTCTCTCTCTGCCTCTCCTCTGTGTAACTCTGACTTTCAAATAAATAAATAAATCTTTTAAAAAAAATTCCTTTGCTGGCCTTGCCCTCTCCAGTTTGTTCTGCATATGACGACAGAATGGTAATTATTCCATTTCTGAAAGGTTGCTAAACCACGTTCAAACATGTTCTTTCCTTTTTTTTTTTTATTTTTATTTTTTTATTTTTTTTGACAGGCAGAGTGGACAGTGAGAGAGAGACAGAGAGAGAAAGGTCTTCCTTTACCGTTGGTTCACCCTCCAATGGCCGCCGCTGCAGCCGGCGCACCATGCTGATCCGATGGCAGGAGCCAGGAGCCAGGTGCTTTTCCTGGTCTCCCATGGGGTGCAGGGCCCAAGCACCTGGGCCATCCTCCACTGCACTCCCGGGCCACAGCAGAGAGCTGGCCTGGAAGAGGGGCAACCGGGACAGAATCCGGCTCCCCAGCCGGGACTAGAACCCGGTGTGCCGGCGCCGCAAGGTGGAGGATTAGCCTATTGAGCCACGGCGCCGGCCTCATGTTCTTTCCTTCTAACACCACATTCCCATCAAGCGGCCAGTGGTGGAGCACTCTGAGATTACATAAAAGGGCCAAGGGGCTCGCAGAATCAAAGTGAAAACACCAGAGCAGCTGGCTTCCGCACAGCTCTGCCAGTTGACATGTAAGGAACTTTGGGCTTGTGTGTATCATTCCGCCTACTTTTCAACCTAGACCACTATGGAAGGGCAGGAACCCCCAGGGGAAGGCGTGGATATCCTTTCTCACCACAACCCCATCTTGATGGTCCCAAATCGAAGATGTATACATTTCCACGGTAACATAGCTCCTCTCTGTGAAATTAAGCCATTTATTATCTTAGTTTGCAAAAAGTAGATGAAATGTTAGCAGCACAAGTTGAACATATACTTTTATTATTTACAAAACACATGGGGATCATGAGTCATGTCACCAATGACAAAAGGGAAGAGTGGACACAAATGGGCTAAATGGTAACAAGGTACCCGTTTGTATGGGGTCCATTTATAATAAAACAGTTCTTTGCTAAAATCAGAAAAAGGTGCAAGTAGGTACACTGCTGTGTAAAAACACCCCAGTTGCTTCTACCCGAAGGTGGAAAAGCATTGGTAGTGTACATAGCGTGTCCTAAATTAGACTAGACAGCGTATATGGATCCACAACACAAGCCCTGGTGCTAGGCAGGAAGCTGTGTGAGACTCGATGGCCTGTCTTGCTGAAGCAGCAAAGCCCCAGGACTAATTAACTTCCCTACCTTCCACAGGGCTTTGTTCAGGTGACTTTGGAAGGTGCTGTCAAAAACCTCAGCCATTTCTGATGCAAGTTCCCTCAGAACAGACACCGTGGACTCATCACGAGTATTCAGAATCCGCACAAAGAATTTATTCCACAATTCACCATTCTCAAGCCTAAAAATACAACAAACCATTTCCATCAAGATCAGGCATATGACAATTGGAATTCTGTTTGTGTTTAATCTTATGGCACATAGACGATTTAAGAGAATCCTAGGGTCAGAGAGAATTCAAACAGTCCTTTGAAAGCTCAGGGAGAAAACAACAAAAAGGACTACCAGAGTGGGAGAAGCCGCATTTCGGTGCACAGAAAGAGAAACAAACTCCGATCAGAATCAGTTCCCTCTGTGTCCTAAGATGTAGCATGTTTCTTCAGCAAGAAGAAGAGAGGTGAGCTGGTCTCCTCTCCAACTTGCCCAGCGTGGAGGCCACTGAAAAACTACAGCGGCCCACCCCCACCCCAGGAATTCCTCGTCTTCACCACTCTCTGAGAATCCTGAGCTTGACTGAGTAAACCCACTTACATCTTTGATGTCTGTGCCTCTGCTTACTACGAGCTTCTTTCTATCAAAGAAGATTCTAGTATTGCACAGGGCAGGGCTGTTGGGAACTCCAGCTTACCCCACCAGTTTCTGACTGTGGTCCACAAACACCTGGATCACAGCCATCAGAGGGGCCTGACTCGAGCCTCTACATCTTACACTGTGTTTAAAACCTATTTTTAAAATACACTTAAGAGACAAGTAAGAATGGCCAAGTTCTGAACTAAATAAAGAGAGAAGCACAATCCAATGCTTTGGAGGATAAAACAGGGAAGGAACATCAAATCTTCAACACTGAATCCTTTTTTTTAATCAAAGGAATCATAAATTGGTAAGTTTATGGGAGAAAGTTATTAGCCAAGAGAAGCTGAACTGGAACATATAATACTGAGCAGGTTTATGAGCAGGCGAGAGGGAGTTCTGAGACCAAGCAGCTCTTATTAGGAGGTCATTTACTTCCGCAAGGGATTCAGCGCTCTGGTTTGAGTTGACATGCTCGTTAAATAGGTAATATCCTCAAATTAGCATGTAAGTTAGAAAGTTCTCTCTCTTCCAACAATGCTTATTCACTTGTGATAACAACACCTGTTGAAAAGGGGCTTGAGGCTAGCACCAGTTGTAGGAAATGATTCTCATTAAGTGCTTCTGCTGACACTCCACACTTAGGAGCTTCCACACGGTCAGTGTAGTATGTGTCAGTGTAGTATGTGTGGCAGCCTGGGGTCAGAGCAGCCCGAAGACTGCATTAGGTGTTTCCCGATACTCTTAGGAAACTGGGCTGAATTCTGGAATCACTGCCTTGGGATTAAGAAAAGGCAAGCTCCTAAAGCAGAGGAAGCACCCAAAACCTATCTGGACGGGCAAAGACCCTGAAGCCGCCAATACTTACTCCGAAACGTTTTGGCTAAGTTTCCAGAGGGACCCATCCCAGAAGACCTGTAGGTGCTCCTTGAACAACAGTAAATGTGCTAAATCTGCTAGACCCAACAGGTCCACCTGAAATCACAAAAAGCACCATCAGCTAAGTGACTCTGCTTATTTATGCAGGAGTTGAAAGGCGTTACAGGGCTTCACTAACTTTATTTTGTGGCATATATTTGAGCAGACTCACACTAGGGGAGAAGCTCCCCAAGGAAGTGATCAGTATAGCCAACTCCAGGAATTACCCTTCGGAACAAAAGATGACCAAGTATCTGGACTATCGAATGTGTGTACCTCCTGAATTTGCACGGAACCAGCTGCACTCTACACGTGGTCCACACGAGCAGTTCAGGTTCGTCCTGCACACAGTCAGCAAACGCCTCATGTCTAACACTGAGTCAAGAGATTTTTGCATAAAATGCCACCATACAGAAAAACATATCCTAATCATCTTTTCCCACACATTTCATTTAATCCTCACAACAACCCTGATAGACAAAGAGCAGATAATGTTATCCCGTTACGGAGATCACAGAAAATGTCTTAAGAAAGACCACGTGGATGGGGACTGCTGGAAATGGCCCTGTCACTTAGGTGGCTGAGCAAGTTGTGTGTTTGGATGTGTATGTATATATTCTTCAGCGTTGTGACAGGAAAATAGTACATTTTGCTTGACAGGGTGATACAGTATTCAAAAACTAGGTCATCTATTCTTGGAGAGTCAATAGCAGCAAACACTAGCATTCATAGCTTATCTAGATAAAGAAGAGAAGCAGCAATCCTCTCCATATTTGCTCAGGCTTGCTTGACACTTACCTGGTAGGGAGAAGAACAGTTAGCCAGGATCTTTTGTCCTTCTAGGATCTGGACAGTCCGAAAGCCGCTGAGGGCAAAAACATCTAGCTGCACCTTAAGGTCAACACTGTAGGAAAAGTCCACTATCTTCAAAGCTTGACTGTTCTTATTGCAATCATAGGGATCGTGGATTCTGAGCCCAGATTAAAGAGAAAGAGAGAATAAAAACAGGCCATGAAGGAAGCTGCATAGCTAGTCTTTAGGGGAGGAAAAAAAAAAAAAAAAAAAAAGACTGCAGGTATGTCTTAGCTATGCCAACTGCTCCCTCCAGTGGTGAGTTATGAATTTGCACCCGTAAGAGCAGTGGTGGTGTGGCCACCACAACACAGATTCTCATCTTCTATAGGGTGAGCCTGGAAGTAGAGTGCAGGTTTCTGAACCGGAATCTCCACAATGACACGTACAATAGCAAGGATTCATATACACTAACAAGATTTATGATGGGGAAAACGGAGTTTTACAGGTGCCATAGCCTATTACAAATGGGTGTTCCAAGTATCATTCAAAGTCTTCCTTCTAGAGTTTAATGAAAAATATGATACATAGGCTGTTTTGGCTAAAGTGCTACTTATACCATAAAACTTCCTGTTTTTATTAATCTGGGGTCATATTGTATCTTATGTGTAATTTCAATTCTTATTTCCTGAAATACTTTCCAACACTAATTCCTATCAACTAATTATATTGTCCTTGGGTTCACTCAGTCCTTGCAAGACATTTTTTTTTTACCAAGGAAACAAAGAAACCATTTATCTGAGAGAGAAGAATGGATTATTTCATGTCTCTTTCTCAATTAGTTCCTACAAATTCCTGGTATCAGTGTAGGTACTATATTCCTAAATATAGACTATCCTCAATCATATACCTCCCAAGCACAGAATGAACTATTTTACTATAAAATTTACAACTTTTTTAGTCGCCATAAAACGACGTATTTTAAAAATACTTTTTAAATTTGAGAGAGGTCGGAAAAACTTTCTTACATTAATAAAAGGAAGCATGAGCTTCCTAATCAGCTCCTATTAACTCACTGTGTCCAGGGGCAAGACTTTCTACATTTTGGGATCTTATTTTCCTTATAACAACGAAAATAACAAAAAAGAGTAGAAACTGAAATAAGTGATTTCAAAGGTTCTTTCTGGCTATTAATTCCTTGTGAATTTATATGAAATTTCCCTTCATATTTGAGAAGCAGTGACAAAGGTAAACATCCCTTTACTACTGAATCCTTTCCTGGAGTCCCTGGTGGCTGAGAGAAGGCCTATCTGAATAGGCAGGCCACAGATGCCCAACTTTAAAAAGGCTTAGGAAATACCTCTGCTTCCAATTCCCATAGCCCTGAGAATTCTAGCATCAGCCTCTGAGCTTTTGTGCTTAACGTGGGGGATTTGTCAGTGGTCACAAAGGCTGGAGGAATGTTCCTTGCCCTTAGTTAGGTGGGTGGATGGAGTTTTGAGGGAGCAGGGATATAAAACATCCTGTGAAGCTTGGAACAAGCCTGCACCAAAAATGGTCTCATCCTAAATGGCCTGGATGAGAAATGCTGTTACACTGTGTCTGGGGAAGCCTTTCTGACTGCCCCGAAGGAGAGAAGGTGGGATTTTGCTTCTTTTGGTTACCCTTGCTGAAATACATCAAGGGTGCTTTTCGTTTCCGTGCCCTATGATTTAGGGCAAGGGTGAGGACACTTATTTTCTGCAAAGAGCCATTTGGATATTTATAGCATCATTCGTGGGCCATACAAAATTATCAACTTAAAATTTAGCCTGTTCTAGATTTACTGAATTTCAAGTCCTGCCTGAGGTTGCCTGGCCTGGGCCAGACCAAATCAAATGACTCTGTAGGCCTTACAGGGCCCGTCGTCCAGATGTTCCCCACCCCGATTTAGAGTCTAGTTCAGTCTCTTCTTAAAGATTAGGAAGCCAAAAGAAACGTAAAGGACTCCAGCTATCAGTGTGCACAAACAGCCTTAGGAAGAAAGTTAGAGAGAGACAAGCGGCCAACAAAGCATCTCGAAGCCAGACTGCTCTCCTAAGATACCATGAAGCCAATGATCACTGAAAGGGTAGGCTGCTTCTCTGATCCTTTTCCCAAAACTGAAATCGTGGGCTATCTTTACTTCGTTCATGCCTCAATGTTTTCTGTATTTTTTGGGCCTTAGTATTTGCACTTCATTCCATACTTCCTGCTCTGTGCTCCCCTTGAACCTGATGGGCACATTGGATTTAATTGAAATACTAAGCCCCCTTTTGTGGCATAACTTGTATTTGCACTCTGGTTTTACCAACCTCTTTTGGCTACCACCTCAGTGTGGGCTAAAACTTTGGCCTAAGAAACCGAGCAGTGCTTCCATTTTGCTAACATCCTTGCGTGAATGGTACTGGTCCCACCTGCAGAATGAGCAAATCCCCTACTTCATGTGCCTCAAAATACTCACGTTTTAGATTGCTTTTTGAATGAATCATCACAATATAGACTGGTCAATTTTTTTTTCTGAATCCATATATTTCCTTAACGTGTGGTTTTCTTTGAATGCCTTTAACTATTTCCAATGTTTATTTATTTTTGACATTACATTTTAAATATAAGAGCAAACCTTCTCAACATAATGTGCTTGCTGACATGGCATTTATCAGAAGACATTAAAAACGGCAGGATGTCTCGAGAGAAAGCTGACAGAACTGCAGCAGAACGAAAAGGACCAACCTATTTCTGAGAACCAGACTCCTCGGACTCAAGTCGCCGTGGACTATTTCTGCTTTGTGCAGCTTCTCCACTATTGCCAAAAGGTTATAAATAATCAGCACTGTTATTTCATGGGTAATAAATTCACTGTGTTGGAGAAGATCCTGGAAAAGAGGGACAGAAAATTCAATTTCCAAAGTGGGGTCAGCTGTCGTTATCTCAGTACCTCAAGAACTGCTGCTTCCCTCTCTACTAGAATATAGCCTGGGCTTCTAGCCTAGTTTTAACACCACTGTGCACTCTCTTAAGACTACTTGTAAGGATTTAATGAGACAATGAATGAAAAACACCAAGGATGACCCTGGCTCATATCAGATACCCTATAAATGCTTAAAATACCTTCATCCCAGCCATGTTAGAGAATTCATATTACTATGAAAATCTGCAGTAAAACTTTCTTAATTATTGTTTGTTTGAAAGAGTGTCAGAGAGAGAGAGAGAGATCAACCTTCCATCCACTGGTTCACTCCCCAGATGGCTACACAACCCATGAGACAGGAACCCCATCCTGATCTCCCATATGGGTGTCAGGGGTCCGAGCACTTGGATCATCATCCACTGCCTTCCCAGGAGCATTAGCAGAAAAGCTGGATCAGAAGGAAAGCAGCTGGGACTCGAATCAATGCTCTGATAGCTGAGGCTGGCGTCAAAAATGATGGTTCACCCTCTGTGCCACATTGCTGGCCCCCAAATCTTTCTTAAGAACATAACAAAGAATAAAATGACCTATTGTGTCTGGGTTTAAAACAGAACCCAGTGGGGATAACATAGAAAAAGCGAGTGGCCATGAGCTGACCATTACCATAGTTGGAGGACTAGCTTCTGGGATTTCATTGTAAACTTCTGTCTACTCTTGTTTATGTTTGAAAAGTGTCAAAAAGTTAAGAGATCCTTCATCAAAATAAGTTGGGAGAAGACAATGATCAATGCTTTTATCTTGTAACTTAGAACTTCTATTTTTAGAAGACTGATGGGAATTTTGTACTGAATTCCTTTGCTAAATGGAGCCTGAATCCTTCTACCCAAGCCCTTTAAATTACATGTGTTTAGTATGATTGCAAACCTGCAGGGTGGAGCAGTTTATATATTGGTACCAAACAATATAGCCATCTTGGTATTGGTAACAGCTGCACAAATGATCACACTCCTCATTTAAACGTTCCTTTAACTTGAGGTTGATGTACAAGTCCCACGGGACAGGTTGAGCCGATACCTATAAGACATTACATTTTAAAAATAAGAGCAATTAGACCCATGGTTATGGTTTCCAGATTGAAAACACATTTCTCCAGCCCCTCTGATAACCCATCAGAACAGTGAAAGGATATTTTAAAAGGCATAAATCTACAATAAAGGACATAATAACAACAAAATTCTGGAAGCTGGAAAGAAAGTAAGAGGTAACCATCTACTTAGAAGACACCAGGAAAGCTGGATTCTAGCAGCAGAAAACACTGAAGGGCAACCACATTTATATGCCAAGATCAGCTCCGGCCAGTGACTGGTGCTGCCGAGTACCTGTGCAAGCAGGGCTGAGAACAGAGCTTGAACAGGAGGGGTTGGACCCGGTTTTAGAGGAAGGGAGACCCCAGACTTCCCTTCCTGTCCTGGAGCTCAACCCAGCAACTACCTTGCCCCATTCCTGCTGACCCAGCTCATTTCCTAGAGAGGATGATAGAGAAAGGCTCCGGAGCACAGGACACCAGGCACCACTGAAGCTGGGGATACGGCCAATGGGACAAAGTTCATGTCTCAGATGCTAAGAGGCACCTCCCAGCCCTCCCATTCTCCAGCCTCATTTCCTCACTCAGCTGTCAGAAAGCAAGCAGCCAGGCTTGGCTGCTCCAGGCAGGAAATTGGAAGTCCTCTTGGAGGGATCTGATCAGCTCAAGACAAAAATCATAAAGATCAGCGGTTTTCCAATAAACGTCCAGGCTCCATCATCCTACAGAGGTCGGCAGCCAGCAAGGGCCCCCCAGGCGCGCAGGCTCAGAGCTCTCCCTTAGCTTCTAGTGGCCCATATGTAAATACGCAGAGAGGCAGCCTCAATGTGAAAGTCAGAGGTCAAGACAGACAAAAACAAACAAAAGTAAACAGATGATGTAGAGAGAAAAAACCCTCATAGCATCATTAATCTCTCAGAGAGATCACAAATGGTCTACCTCTGAAAGGAAGGGAATGCCACAAAGAAAATTCTGAGAAAAAGAGCTCTTGCAAATCAAATACAGATGAAAGAAATAAAAAGCCCAGTAAAAATACTGAAAATAAAGTTGATAAAATACAGTCAACCCTCTGCATCTGCAAGTTGAACCAAACCTCAGATTGAAAATATTTGAGGAAAAAAACTATGCCTGTGCTTAAAATGCACACTTTCCTTGTCATTGTTTCCTAACCAATACGGTGTAACTACTTGCAAAGCAAACACATTGAATTTGGTATGAGAAGGAATGTGGAGATGGTTTAAAGTATATCAGAGGTTGTGCATGGGTTATATACAAATACTGTGCCATATTATCTGAGAGATTTCAGCATTTGCAGACTTTGGAGGGTGGAGTAGGGATAGATTTGCACAACCAATCCTGCCTGGATACCTAGAGATGATTGCAAGTCAGATGCAAAAAGTCAGAGAGATAGAAACTAGGAGGCCAAAAGTAAGATTGTCAGAGGCACTATGTGGGAGACCCCTATCCCAGTAGAGGGCGTTACAGACAGAAAAAACAGAAGACCGAAGCGATCGAAGAAAATTTCTTAGAATTACAAGAGTTTCCAGATCAAAATGGCCTGGGTGACAACAGATGTTACCAAAATAGGTAACTGATATTTCAGAATGCTGAGGACAAACATAAGATCCTCCAAGGATCCAAATAGTTTCATACAAAGCTTCAAGACTCAGAATGGAAAACATCCCATGGGGCCAGTGCTGTGGCGTAGCAGGCTAAGCCTCCGCCTGCAGCACCGGCATTCCATATGGGCATGTTTGAGTCCTGGCTGATTCTCTTCCGATTCTGCTCTCTGCTTATGTGCTGGGAAAGCAGTGGAAGATGGCCCAAATGCTTGAACCCCTGCACCCACGTGGGAGACCTGGAAGAAGCTCCTGGCACCTGGCTTCAGATCGGCCCAACTCCGGCCATTGCAGCCATCTGGGGAGTGAACCAGTGGATGGATGACCTCTCTCTCTGTCTCTCCTTCTCTCTATCTGTAACTATAGTTCTCAAAATAAAGAAAATCTTTAAAAAAATAACAAAAAACCTCTGTCTCTACTTCTGTCTGTAACTATACTCTCAAATAAATAAAATCTTTGAAAAGACCTCTATCTCTCCCTACCTGTAACTCTACCTCTCAAGCAAATAAATAAAAATCTTAAAAAAAAATTCCAAAAGCAATATGGAAAGCCAAAAGATAAAGGAATTCTTCAAAATTTTGAGAAAAAAAATAGTTCAGAAATTTTTTTTAAAGATTTATTTATATATTTGAGAGGTAGAGTTACAGACAAAGAGAGGGAAAGACAGAGAGAGCGGTCTTCCATCTGCTGGCTCATTCCGCAAATGGCTGCAATGGCCGGAACTAGGTGGATCTGAAGTCAGGAGCTTCTTGCAGGTCTTCCACGAGGGTGCAGGGACCCAAGCATTTGAGCCACCTTCCACTGTTTTCCCAGGCCATCAGCAGGGAGCTGGATCAGAAGTGGAGCAGTCAAGACTCAAACCAGCATCCACATGGGATGCCGGCGCTACAGGCAGAGGCTTAACTGATTATGCCACACTGCCAGCCCCCAGAATTCTTTTTTTCTTTTTTTATTAGACAGGCAGAGTTAGACAGTGAGAGAGACAGACAGAGAGAAAGGTCTTCCCTCCGTGGGTTCACTCCCCAAACGGCCTCCATGGCTGGCACCGCACTGATCCCAAGCCAGGAGCCAGGTGTTTTTCCTGGTCTCCCATGTGGGTGCAGGAGCCCAAGCACCTGTGCCATCCTCCACTGCCTTCCCGGGCCACAGCAGAGAGCTGGATTGGAAGAGGAGCAACCGGGACTAGAACCTGGTGCCCATATGGGATGCCAGCGCCGCAAGCAGAGAATTAACCAAGTGAGCCACGGTGCCAGCCCCAGAATTCTTTGAGACAAATTATCATTAAGTAAAGATGCCGCTGCTCACTTGGCTAATCCTCTGCCTGTGGCACCTGCACACCGGATTCTCGTCCCGGTTGGGGTGCCAGATTCTGTCCTGGTTGCTCCTCTTCCAGTCCAGCTCTCTGCTGTGGCCCGGGAAGGCAGTGGAGGATGGCCCCAGTGCTTGGGCCCCGCATAGGAGACCAGGAGGAAACACCTGGCTCCTGGCTTTGGATTGGCACAGCGCGCCGGCCGTAGCAGCCATTTGTGGGGTGAACCAACAGAAGGAAGACCTTTCTGTCTGTCTTTCTCACTGTCTAACTCTACCTGTCAAAAAAAAAAAAAAAAAGATGCAGAATGAGCAGTTTTCTGATACACAGTTTTTAATAAATGTATGTACCATTCGTAAGGAAGCCACTAAAAGATGTGTTTATTCAAAATATGAAGGATTAAACCAAGAAAGAAGAAAAAATGAGTTCCAAGAAACTACACATCCAACGGAAGAGAAAGGTAATACAAATACCCAGGATGAATGGAAATTTTCAGGTGACACTGAGTGTGGGGCAAGCCTGTATAACTTGTCCAGACTGGAGCAGGCCAGAGAGTTGCAGAAAAGATTTCCTCAAAAAAGATAAAACTGAAATAATACTCAGTAGGTTTGGATATATTGTGAGATTTATATAATAACCTCTCGTTTAGAAAATGTCTTCATCTACTTGAAGGCACAGTGGCAGAGACAGGGAAAAAAAATAGATCTTCCATCTGCTGGTTCACTCCCCAAATGCCCACAACAGCCAGGGCAGGGTCAAGCCAAAGCTGGGAGCAAGGACATCTATGTGGGTCGCCCATGGGGGTGCAGAGACTCAAGCACTGCGCCATCATCTGCTGCCTGGATGTGGCTGGGGAGGGACCCCTGAACTGGAAGATAGGAACCCTGGGAACTGAACAATGGCATTAGTGGAAAATCCTTGACCTCTCTCTCTTCTGCCAACCAAGTGGGAATTCATGAGGTAATAGGTGTGAAAGGGCCCTGAGACCCTGGGAATAAAAGCACAGTGTGTACACACCGAGTAATGCCGTCTCGAGGGAACGTCTGCCCCTCTGGGAAAACCTGATGCACGACGGCAGTAGGAAGCTGTGGGCCCTGACCAGCAGCGCTGGCATCGCCTGGGAGTTTGTCCAGGCTGTGGCCCCCTTGCTGTGTGAGTGAGCCTCAGGAAACAGAACCTGGCACCCCAGCTGCCTAGCCTGGCCCTGGGATTCTGGAGCCTAAGCTTGGGATGTTTCTGTTTTGACAGATGGTTATCAACGTGACTTGCGACCCTTTTCCTCTCGCTTGAAGCCAGCTGCCCTGCTGGGGGAGGAAAAGCTGTGTCCCCAGAGTTTGTAGGAAAAAGGAAAAAGCCTCCATCGTCCGTTAGTTGTGACAGTTGAGGAGAAGGGACCCTGGAGAGCTCGTTAAGGAGGAGGCAGGCTGGCCAGGGTCCCCGCCTCCCGCCCGCCCAGCAGAGGTACTGCTGTGTGGGCCTCACCTCCCGCCCGGGGGCCTGCAGCTTCTGCAGCCAGTCCTTAAAAGGAGCGGTGGGTGCCACGTTTGTTCTTTCTGGTGCCAGGCCTGCGCTGTCTCACTTCCCCGGCGGCAAGTGGATTCTTAATGAGAGGCGGTGACCGTGACGTAGGCCCAGCAGCCTGGGTGAGAGCCAGCAGGTTCCAGCCTGCTGCTCCTCTGGCTCCCGTTCCCTGCCTGGGGTCTCCCCGTCCAGGGGGGCTGTGGTCACCCGCACGGCCCTTGCTCGGAGCGCTGACTGCCCTTGCTCAGGAAGAGGTGCCTGTGAGGTCTGCGCGCAGATAAAGGATGAGACTGAAGTGGAATGGTGCCTCCAGCCTCTCCGACTCCCTGGACAACCCCACCCCCAATTTAGAAGAAGGAGCGCATGGGAGTTTTGGCCACTTTCTTTGCTCTTGGGGGGCGCCAGTGCCATCTTGTCCTGTTCTTGCTCACTCTGAGGCCAGGGCCAGAGCTGCAACTGACTGGTAACCAGGCCATCCAGACAGGGGCCTTGGCAGGTAGCTTCCAAGGCCCCCCAAGGCCCCCCTTGACCATAAGAATGTGGGGACCTGCTGCGGCTTTGGGTGGCAGAACTTAGCCCTGGAGGCTTGGCGCAAGCTTGCAAGGGGGCTGGTTTCTGGGGAAAATGAAACAGCAAAAACTGGTGTGAGATGGCTACTGATGGACGCAGGAGGAAGAGGAGCAGGAGGAGTGGGAGAGGCAGCATGCAGGGGGGCGCGGGTGGATGGAGCCAGTGACAGGACAAAGAACACTCCCTGGAAACCACTAGACCACCCGGAGGACCCAAAGTAGCCAGCTGCCCAGAGAGCTGGCTCAACAGTACCAGGCAGCCCTCCCTTCCCTAAAACGGCATTGGCCCAGCTAGAGAGGAGATAAAAGAGAAGCCAGAAAACACAGACAGAGGTCACACCAAATAGCTACTTCATTTATTCAACGAGTATTCACCGAGAGCCTTTCGAATGGCAGGCTACCAGTGACAGTGTCTACTGCGGGCCGGGTGCATTTTGCATACTCTTGTCCTTGTTTTCTCAACAGCCCTTCAGGGTGGGAATTACAGCCCCATTTTGCAGACAAGAGGACCAAGGCTTTAAGAGGTTAAAGTCGAGCACGGCCACCCAGCTGCCTGGACCGGGGGATCCTGGCCTGTGCCCGTTCCACCCTGTCGTCCAACACGTGCCTTTCTTGCAACCCTGCTCCACTGCTCCTTCTGCCAAGGTGAGGTGGGCCTGGGACACAGGTGCCTCCGCCTCTTCCGCCCTCCAGCCCCGTGCCTTGGTTCCTGATGGCCATGTGAAGCCCTCCCACATTTGAAAACAGATTTGTCCTGGATGCCTTCCTCCTTTCCAACCAAGTAGAAGGCTTCTAGCCTGACCTTTGAACACAGGAGCCAAGAGGAGATAGAACCAGCTCTACATGGCCCTGAGGTCGGCAGGGGCCGTATCTAGTGACACCTGCCTCCTGTTCCATCCTGGAGCCACAGTCAGGTTGGGTAGCCGAGGGCTGCCACCAGAGCCACTGCCCTCTTGAGGACAGCTCAGTGCCACCTGCCCACAGTACAGTCTTCCTGTGAAAGCAGCCCGCACCGGTCTCCACTCTCCAATTTCGTTGCTCCCCCAACACCCCTCCTCCTAACATCCTTCCAGCCCTATTTCCCCATAGCCCTTCTCCCTGACTCTCTCCTGCCCTGGTCCCTGTGTGAGGGCTGAACCCGGGCCTTGTCCCATTTCTCCGTCCCCCTCCCATGCTCACACGTGCCTGGCGGCTACCCTGTGTGCAGACACACCTGTGAGTTGCAGCTCCGGGGTTTGGGAGCAGACTGTGAATCTTGAATTTAAGGTCTCTGCCCGAACCTAACCCCATCCTTTGCTCTAACCCAGCCCTGTCCTTTGCCCGCCATGGGGCCCCAGGGCCTGTGCCACATTCCAAAGCCTTGTCCTTGTGACTGGAAGGCAGGAGGAAAACTTGAGTGTGGAGTCTCCGGCCTGGCCAGGCTTTTCCAGGATGCCTGTGATCAGCCCCACACTGCCCTCTTCACCCCACCCCATTCCTGCCCTCTGCAGCGTCTTCCCCCAGCCCTGCAGCCAGCCAGGGCCTAGAGTCTGCCTCTGTCCCAAGCCCTCCTTGTGTCCTAGTCTTGGCCGTTACCACTCGCATAGTGTGGCCCAGCCCAGCAGTGTGGGCCTACCTGTGCCTACAGCAGCGCTGGCTCCCAGCCCTCCCCAGGCTGAATTAGAGCCGGCATCATCCTTGGCATGCCGGTGTGAGGACAGCAGTCTCAGCTGCTGGGAGGTACCCACTCCCCATGCGGCCACATCGAAGGGTGGGGGGATGGAGCTGCCAGCCAGCGAAGCCGCCTGAGCTGGGACCCCACTGGCCTCCCATCGAACTGTGGCCAGGGTCCAGACCCTCCTGGGGGCCTCAGAGGCCCATGACCCTCAGCAGAGAAACCAGCATGGCAGGGCCAGGGAGGAGGGGAGCAGAAGGGACCACGTGGTGAGCTCCAGGCAAGGGCGTGGGAGCAGAGGCGGGCTGGTTCCCTCTGGGCTCCCACCGTGCTCCTGCCCCCAGCCCTGTCACGCACCTCAGGCCAAGAGCGGCCCCTGCTGTGTAGCCTGGACCTGCTGGTTGACTAGGTCCCTTCCCTCCCCCTGTTGGCTAAGTCACCGTCGCCCACCGGCTGCGGTACTGGTCGTGGGTGCTCAGGAAATGTTTGTTGAATTGAGAGGAAGCCACAGCTTGTGCGGAGTCTGGATAGTTCCGTGGGCCTCAGGGGAGGGGCGGGAACGGAGACTAAGTGGGAAAGACAAGTTCTGATGTCGCCGCCCTTAGTTGGAGTCATTGTTTATCTACTGAGCTTCTCTGTTTCTCTGGGCCCTTGCCTTGCAAGGCCCTGGTGGGGGTGGGGGTGGGGAAGAGGAAGTAGGAGAGGGCAGGAAATGACCCTGGGCCGCAGGAGCAGGCCCTGGCCTCTGTCCAGGGTGCACGTGATGCCTCAGCGCCAGCCGTGAGTGCTCCCCACCGCCCAGTCCACCCCATGCCAGGGGAGCCACTCCGGGGACCCTCCTTTTCATAGGGAAGCCCGATTCTGCTCCTCTGCTCCCAGCCCGGGCAGTGCCAGCTGTGTCCTTTCTCCAGGCCTCGGCCTCCTCTTTGGAAGAAGCAGGTGACGGCCGAGGTTCTGCCAGCTCAGCCATCCTGTGAGCCTGGGACCACTCATCACCTGGCCGCGAGACAGGAGGGTGAGAAAGGTGCTGGCTTGGGTGGCCAAGGGGGCTTGCGGCTGCCGGGTTCTGAGGGCATCTGCTGGCGAGGGAGGCCAGGTCTTGGGGCATAACAGGACCAGGAAGGCCTGGCTGTCAGGGTGGAGATGGCTCATGGCCTGGGTATCAGGGCAGGGTTGACCGGTGTGGGACACCAGAGGCCAGCATGCTTGTGCTTGCACAGGAAAACACACGGGCCCACGAGGTACAGGGCCCGAGGCAGCCCCTTGCCCTCACAGGATCAATCTGCTGGCAAGCTGACCGCACTGCTCAGCCGGACGGGCACGAGCCACACAGAAGACTGGGCACTGAGTCCTTCCCTCCTCCTCTCCCTAAAGCAGCCCCCAGCTCCCAGGAGCTCTGCTCAGCACCGTCCTGCAGGGCCAGCGCCCCCTCTCCTGCCCCTTCCCCCTGTGCCCCTCCCCCTCTGCCCACTTCCTCTGGGAGGCCTGCCTCTTGGGGCCAGGGCCTGCTGCGCCCCAGCCCTGCCAGACCTGCCCTCTCTGGGCTCTAGGGGGCCTGTTCCTTTCTGCGGCTCAGAGCACATCCGGCCCTCCAGCTCAGCCTCGGGGTCGCTGCACCCCGGAGGCTGCCGGGAGCCATCTGGCCGGGATGCAGGGTTCTCCTGGGCCCCGGGCCCGGGGCTGAGAACACATGGGCTCTCCCCAGGCCCAGGGCTGCCGGCCCCTCCTAGGGAGAGGTCCAGGGGAACCAAGTCAGTCTGTTGTGGTGAGCCGGGGGCGGGGCTGCTTGTGGAAGCTCCTGACTTCTCTTCTGGCCGCTCCGGGGGTGCTGGCGCTGGGCTGGTTGCTGGAGTCCTTCCCAGCCTGCCCGGCTGCGCCCCGCTCTGCTTGTCGGCCTGTTCCTCTGCACTGACAGCCGTCCTGGTGCTCTGGCCTGCCTGAAAGGAGAGAGCGGCCCAGCTGCCTGGCGCATTCAGGGCTCGCGTCCCGCCTGCCCGCAGGGTGGAGGCTCGAGGACCCACCTCCTGGCTTTCCAGGTCCTCAGCCACGTCTTCCTTCGTATCCCACCTGTGGAGCACAGCACGGGGCAGCCCCGCCCCCGAAAGTCACCCCTCTGTAGCCTGTGGCCCCAGGGGGCAGCTGACATCTGAGGGGCTCAGAACAGGACCCAGGGCAGCCTGACCTCGAGCCCCCAGCCCAACAGTCTCCTCTGAACGCCACCCGCTCGGCCCCTCCCGGCTCCCCAGCTGCTGTTTATGGCCAAGCCTGCGGCACCTGACGCTCTGTGGGGACCCCAGACGTGTCCCTGCCCGCCTGCGCTGCCTGGGAAAGGCGCACCTCGCTTCCCGGGGGGAAGGCAGCTGCTGTAATTACCGCCAGCCTCCCTGGGCACCAGCTCCTGGGCTGCGGCTGCCTCTGCTGATGGCCTCTCCCCGCATCTCATTAACTTGAGCCAGGCAGCAGGCAGCGCAGAGGCAGGGGCCCAGGGACACAGCAGGCACCTGGGCCCACGCTGGGGCAGGAAATCAGGACACCCAGATGCCCTGCCTTGATTCTGTCCCCTGTTACCTTCGGGCCCTGCCGGTCAGCCTCTCCTTGCCCCGGGCTTTGCTGCCTGTGGCTGGTGCCGCTGAGGGTCTGCTGGGCTGCCCACCCCGACCTGCAAGAGAGGGTCCACAAATCCAGGAGAGAAGGGGCCCCAGCACCCAACTGAGCCACCCGCGGGCAGCGCCGGCTCCTCCTCCTCTCCCAGCACACCTTTGCCATCCGGGGACAATGGCGGGGGCTGTAGCTTCCGGTGGCTCCTAGGACCTAAAGGGGTACAAAGGAAACAGGGACAAGGTGCTGTATCAAGGACGCGAAGCGGGAACGCTGGTTCCTGCAGCACCGGGAAGCTGGTGGGCTTTTCTGCCTGGGGTCAGGAGAGCCGGGTTCCTGGGCTGGCTTGGCTATTCCAGCTTCCTGAGCCCCGAATCCTCGGGTGGTGGGTGGGGTGCCTGCAGCGGGCCAGGGGCGGGCCGGCCAGCACCCTGGCCTATCAGGGAGCAGCGCCCCGGGAGGACCCCGGCACATGCCCCTGAGCCTCCTCAGGGACCCCGCGGTGGGGAAGGAGGGTGTTCTCCCGTGCTGGCTTTGTGCTCTGAAAAGAAGTGGGAAAGCGAGAGACCGAGAAGAGAGAGGATGAGGGAGGGGACAGGATGAGGCGAAGAAAGCCAAGAAGGGGCGGGGTGAGGGGGCACCTGCTTACCCCGTCTGCCGTCCGCCCTCACCGGGCCCTCTTCCCTAGGCTTGCCGCCGTCCTGTAGCCTGTGTAGACAGAGGAGGGAGGGAGGTTGCAGGTGGCAGGCAGGACAGAGGCTCCGCGCCTCCTCCAGCCCCAGAACTGAGGACAGCAGGAGCAATGGGGGACTCAGGGTCTACACAGAGCCCTGAGCCCGGAGCCTGCCCTGGCAGCCCAGGCAGGGCCTCTCCAGCCTGGGGAGGGTCCCACCAGCCCTACTCCAGCCCCATGTGCATGTCAGCCGGCAAGCCACCTCGCCCTGCCACCCACGTGGGCTTGGCCTTGTCCATGTCCCACGGGCGGCGCCAGTCACCCTGTGCATCTCTGTGCCGGGCCACGCGGGCCTGGTCCACCTGCTCGCGCTCCTGCTTCCACTGAGCGTAGTCCCAGCCCACCTCTGGGGGCGCCCTGAGTGGCCGTGGAGGGGCTGGGCCCCGGGCTTCCCCTGCAGCCTGCAAGAAGACGTTGGGCATGGTGGTGAGTACAAGCAGAAACAGCGGACCTAGAGATTCCCTGTAACCCTTCCTCTCTCAAACTCTCCACACCCCATCTAAAAACTAGGACTACGCCATGTCCAACAGGCTCTATTGGCCGCGGGCACGCTTCCTGTCCACTTGCTAGCTGAGTGTTTGGGGAAAGTAATTTTGCCTGTCTGTGCATCATTTTCTCATCTTTGAAATGGGGACGGCAACAGGGCCTACCCACCAGGCTGTGCCCAGGTTGGGAGGGGCACCTAGACCCGGGAGCAAGAGCAAGGGCGAGAGGCTGCTGCCACCTAGAGGTCACAGCTGGCTCGTGGCCAGTCACCTCCACCCTCCGCCCACCAGCAGGGATAGATCAGATGGGGGCAGGATCACGTCCCCCCCTGCCCAGCCCACCCCCAGTGGCCAGAGAGGAGAAGGAGCCATGGGAATTCTTGCAGGTGCTGCCCGGGGCTGTGTCCCTACACACGCTGGACAGACACATCTGACTGGGTTTCTCTGCCCTCTGCAGATGGGGAGCTCCACGTTCACGCCTGGTGCACTCTTGAAGATGTACCTTCTGCACAGAGTTCGAGCCGACGGCCAACTGTGTCGGGGGGCTTTGGCCTCCGCCCCCTCCAGGTGACCCGTCTGCCCCGGGGGCCCTTGCTCTGGTGGGCTTTTCACTTACGATCCGTTTGGCCTGGGGAAAGTGACCGATGGGCAGTGCGACCAGGCCAGGAAAGAAGAGGCTGTCCACCAGCACCTGGACTCCCCTCCCTACCCTGCTCACCTTGGCCCTGTTTTCCATGGTCACGGCCAGGTCCACGCGCTCCCCCAAGAAGAAGGTGCCCACGCAGCCCCCCACGTCCTCGTCCTCCAGCATCTCGCCGGCGGCATCGGGTCTGAGGGGGCTCCTTGCCCAGTTCCTGCTGACCACCCGCTTCTCCTGCACAACGAGGGCCACGTGGGCAGCACTGGGCAGGACCCGGGTAGGGAGTCCTCTGGGGGCTTCCCTGGGTCCAGGTTCCAGCCTGACCCTCCCTGGAATGCCCACAGAGACGCCGACTCCCGCAGGCATTCACATACCAATGACATTAGTTATCCAGCGCCTAGGGCCGCCGGGGGCCCGAGATGCCACAGTGGCTGGCGGTCAGCTCTGAGCACTCAGACAATAAGGCCTTGTCCCTCAAACACTGCTCCTGGTCTTAGCCCCAGCTCTCCCCCACTTCTTACATTGGAAGCCCCTCAGGTTTGGGTTTAGGAGCAGCTTGTGCGTGGGGCGTACATGTGGGGCTGAGGCCCTCGGCTGGGGACAGTGGCCTGGGCTGCATGAGGCTGGGAGCTGGTAGCAGCCTCCAGAGGGGTAAGTTGTGCTGTCCCCCACCATCTGGGCCTCCACCTCTTTCCACCCTCCCTGGCTCCCAGGGTGAGGCTTACACCAGGAACCTGGCTGATGGTGACAGTGAGGCTGTCGGGCTGGAGGAGCCCCGGCGTGGTCACAGCCATGCCCCCCTGCTCGGCCTGCTGACGGTCTTCCTGGATCTCCTAGGGGAGGGCCTGGGATCAGCACAGGCCACAGCCCCCAGACGCACAGAGACACAGACGCGGACAGGCCTACACAGGGAGACACTGGTGGGACACCAGGGGGCAGAGGCACCACGTCACAAGTGCCTGACACCCTGCCAAGACTCCAAAGTCACCGTGTCCACCCTCACCCTGGCTGCAGGCCCAGAGCCCACAGGGAGAGGCTACAAGGCCGGCAGCCCCCTGTCCTCCGGCCCCTGCCACAGCTCACTCACCTGGTACCTGCGCAGTAAGGCCTGGTTCTTCTTGCGCAGGGCAACTATCCTCCGGTCCAGCTCGGCATCCTTCTCCTCCAGCCTGCTCATCAGCGACGCGGCCCTGGGCGGCCCCTGCAGAGGGCAGGGGACCCAGGCTCCCGGCTGCTGCCCAGCCACCACCATTCCCCCACCTGCACACTCATCCCCCAACCTTATTCTCACCACCCACAGCGCCAGGGTCCACAGGAAGAAAGGGGGCTGTTCCCCCCCACCCCGCCATGCTGGGCCTGTCTGCCTGCACCTGCCTCCTCCGGGTCGGGGCCTGACACCCAGGGCAGGCCGCGGGCCGCCCCTCCCCCGCTCCCCAGAGAGCACCAAGCAGCCTGGAATGGGAGTTATAAATGGCTCTGGCCGCAGAACCTGCATGACTGGGAAGCTGCCAGGGCATTGGGGAGGTCGAGGAGGGGGGAGCTGTTTGGCTCCCAGACTCAGAAGTGCAGGAAAAGAGAGGCCTCGGCTCCGTCCTGGGCCCTCAGGCCCGGGCCCCCACTCTGCGGGCCTGTGCCCAGCCTGGAGAAAGAGCCGCCCCACAGGCCCAGCCTCTCCAGGCCTTGAGCCGCTGGCTGCCAGGGCAGGAGAGGTTGGCAGCCCCACCCTGGGCGAGCGGGGCCTCGGCATCAAGATCCCAGGTCGTCCCCCCGCCCCGCCTGGCTGCAGGGTCTCCGCTTTGGGCGCCAGTACCCCTGCCCGGGCCGCCTCTGGCCTGATCGCAGCCCTCTTCCTCCCAGGCCCAGCTGTCCCCAGCTGCCCCCAGAGCATGGCTGCCTGGTGTCCCAGCCTCCTCCCAGCCCCGGGAAGCCCCCTGCCCAAGGCGAGGTGCCACTCACAGCCGAGTGCATGGCACCAGCGGGCACCGAGAGGATTCCAGAGCAGACCCTGGGGGAGCCGGAGCAGGAGGGAAGCCGGAGCCGCCGGAGCCGGGCCTCTGCCCGCCTCTCCCTGCCGGCTCCACTGCTCAGCACACGAGATCATGTTGTGATTACAAAAGACTCCTCTGGGCTCCCAGCCAGGAACGCCGCGGCCTCCACCCCCACCCTTCCACTCGCACAGGGGGAGGACCAGGGAGCCGGCAGCAGCTGGCCCTGCCCTGCCCCAGCGGCCCAGACAGGATGACAGGGTCGTCCCCCTGGTGGTCAAGCCCACCCAGGAGGCCTGGCCGCCAAGACCCAGCCTTCCCCTGAGGCCGTGTGCCCCAGGCCTGGGGCTGCCCACAGACACGATGGGCAGCCACATGGCCGGGTCTCTCCCTTGAGTAGCAAAAGGCCTGCAGAAGAGCCGGCTTGGCAGGTACCTCCAGGGTGCCTCCCTCTCCCGCTGGCTGCCCCATCAGCACTGGTGCAGGTGACATGGGTCAAGCGACAGCCCCAGGCCCCCGCACACCCAGGACAACCACCAGGACAACACTGTCAGTCACTCACTCCTCTGGTCCTCTCAGCACTCCTGGTGTCCAGTGCCTCACGGTGGTGAGCCAGGCCCGGCTCCAGCTCCGTCCCCACCCCAGCCCAGTGCTGCTGGCAGCCTTCCTCCCACGGGCTCCCTTGGAAAGCCCTCACTCACACCCCTGAGCCTGGCAGTTCCCTCAGGGGTCCTCGAGGCCCTGAGGCCTGGGATGCGGGGAGGGGGGACCTGGTTCTGTTTCAAGCATGGCAAGGCCCCGAGGCCTGTGTCCGAAGCCCCTGCATCCCTGATTGACCAGGGCTGTTTCCGTGACCCCGGGCCCCAGGCGCCAGCGCTCCAGCCTCTGCTCCCCTGCAGCTCCCCCTCCCTCTCCCCCACCCGGGCCCCACACCCCATCCTGCTCCCTCGCACATGCCAGCTCGGCTCTCTTTCCTTCCTGCCGGATGTTCCCACTGAGTCAGACTCATCTCTCCTCCGGGCGACAGTGACACACCGGGCTCCTCTCTCGCACACTCGCGCGCGCACGCACACACACACACACACACTCCTGCTCTTCTCCCCGCTCCCTCTGCATCCTGCCCCAGCTCCGCCTCCACGGGCTTCAGGGGCCCCAGGCTCCCCCTCGCCTGCCCCAGGCCTGCCCAGCCTGGGAGAGAGACCTGATGCTCCCCTTTCCCTTTGCAACTCCAGGTGGGGACGGGGTGTGCCAGTGGAGGCTGCAGGCACCCCAGCCCCTGTTCCCAGCCAGCAGGCTCCAAGTGAGCAGCAGCCACGGGGGGACTTACACAGCCATCCTGCAGGGAAGGGCCTCCTGGCTCTGTAGGCTGCAGCCTCACGTGCCCAGGACAAAGCCACAGGCGGGTGGGGCCGCATTTGCTGGCCATGTGCTTCCCAAGTGTTACTTACACAGTATATCACATCTCGGAGCAGCCCCCACATTCCCCTCCTTTCTCCCGAAGCTGTGGTTTGCCCGTCTGCTCCCACAGCAGACAGAGGCTCTCTGAGGGCAGGAGCCCAGTGCCGAGCGCCTCTGGGTGGCCAGGGCCTGGCAGTGTCCCTGCCTGCGGCAGTGCCTGCCCCAGGGAGTGCTTGCAGAAGAAAGACATGAGAGAGACAGGCTGTCTTGTCCCTGGGCCGTGACTGCCTCTCTGTCCACCAGGAGCGCAGGCAGCCCTGACACAGCTTGGGGTGCTTCCCCCTTGTACTGGGGAGAAACGCAGGGGCAGCCGGCTGGGACACAGGAGGGCCTCCGGCGCGGTGTTACCCGGGGACCTCGGCGCCACCACCCCGCGCCGCCACTAGAGGGCAGCAGAGTTGCAAAGGCCTGGACTTGGCGGTCGGGGGCGTTTCCTGGCCGGCCCCTCCCGCCCCAGTCCTCTCTCGCAGGTCTTCGTAACCCTCGCCCCACGGAGCTCCAAATCACTCGGTTGTTAAAGCCTTGTTTTACGAATGAGTGAAACAAGGCCCAGAGGGGGCGCCATCTGCCCGAGACGCACAGCCCCCGCGCGTGCACAGGTGAGACTTGAGGCTGGGCGCGGCCTCCTTCCTGGGTGGTGGCCGCCAAGAGCTCCCTGCGCCTTTCCTCCTTGAGGCCAGAGTTCCCCGGGCTGCCCCTCCACCCTCCCAGGCCCACCCCGACCATGTTTGGACTTTATCTGCTATGGTAAGAATACAGATCTGGAGCCGACCCTGGGAACAGAATGGCGGGTCCGGAGTCCAGTTGAGTTGGGGAAGAGGGGTGGGAGGCCTGCCGGGGCGGGGCGTGCAAATCCCTAGCCCACACACCAGCTCCTGGCAGAGGCCCCGGGAGCAGCAGCCGTGCAGAGGCCCACGCAGGTGCAGGCGCTGAGCCTGCATCCCGCGCGGTTACAGAGGGGGCGGCCTATCCTTGGCAAGGGCTGTGGCCTTGCCCTTCTCCCTGAACCTGTCACAAGGTGAGGGAGGCTGTGTCCCTCTGTTGCACTCATGAGCTAAAACAAAATGTTACAAAAACTAGTGACAGTCACACATGAATTTTATTGAAAATGAGAAGCAAATGAGAGGCAAGGTAACCGATCAGGACCGGCCACCGATCGGGACCAACACTCCTTACCAGAGTGCGGCCCCCAACAGCGGGTTACGCAGCTTTTTATAGTATTCTGTCCACTAGGGCTCACAATTTTGAACCGGACCCCTGATATGCAGTGAACAATAAAGAGAAAAGCCAGAATATGGTTGTAAGATACAGTTAACAATAACAAACCCAATAGCAGATCCAAGATAATGGTTGTAAGATAACAGTGGAGGACACATTTTAGTCACCTAGTTCCTGGGAATTTGGGCCCATATAGTTTCCCAAGGTACAGCCTTAGATGTTAGCGAGCAAAGCTAATATGTACAGAAGCAAGAGATCTGCAATTGGCTTTTAGGCACACTCACTCCATTTTGACTGATTCTACGCCTCCTCTCTCTGGTTCCACTTATAAAGTGAGGTGTTGATCCTGGGCAGTCATCCGGAAATAAAAGGAGGTGACATCCAGGCCTGCAACCACGTGTGGCTCAGAGTGAACCTCGGGCAGCTCACTGCCGCCTTCCAGATGCTCCCTGCACAGCGTCTCTCCAGGGCCCCAGGCTGCCTCCTGCCTGCTGTCAGGGGTGGACAGCTCTGAAGACTTCTGGGTGATGGGGACCGTGTGTGACCCGGTAGGGGAGACCCTGCGGCCTCCCCAGCACCCTCTCTGGGTCTCCCTTCATGCCCCCTGCCCAGCTAGGCTTCCCTGTCTGCTCCCTGCCGTGCCTGGACCCTGAAGGCCCTAGGTGCCGGCTGCCATCTCTCCCCAGCCAGCTGGGAGCTGCTCCTGGCCGCCATCCCCACCCCTACCAAGTCCAGGTTCAGACTCTCATCCCCAAGCCCAGGACTTCTCCCTGGCAGGGGGCTGAGTGCTTGGAGGTCACCCATGCCTCCTGTCAGCTCTGGGTGGTGGAGTGAGCCCAGCTGTCAGGTCTCACTCAGGGGAGAAGGCACCAGACGCTGGCTTGAAGCCCAGTGAGCCTCTTCTGCAAATGCACCCCTCCCCCCACCCCAGCAGGGCCACTCCTGTCTCAAGATCCTGCTGTCCTGACCCCTGTGACTACAAGTCTGCACGTAGGCCTCGGTCAGCCAGCCTGGCTCTGGCCAGTGGGGGGTGGGGGGCAGTGACTCAGAGTCAGAGGTGGGGCTGGCACCAACCCAGGGTAGGTGCTAGCTGCCAGGACAAAGTCTGGGCCACACCATACCTGAGAGCACACATGGCACGACAGGGTGGCATCTGGAGGCCGAGGCAGGCTGGGCTGGGACCCTCTGGGCACTCGCAGCTCGGGGGAGGGGAGCCCCAGCGTGGCACTGCAGCCCTGGGCTCTCCCTTGTTGTGCTGGGTGCTTGGGGAACTCACAGCAGTTTCCCAGAACCCCCTGCCTGGATCCCCAGCCCAGAGTTGCCCTGCCAGGGCTTGCCCACAATGTGCCACTAGCTGGCACCTACTGTGTGCTTCTCCTGAAACAAGGAGGTGAAGACCCCGGCTCCAGGCCGGAGGCACCTGCCAGCAGCAGACACAGTAGCCGTAGCCTGGGCCCACGAGGAGTTTTCCAGAAGGAGCAGGACTCGGGCAAAGGGATCACAGGGACGTGAGAGGGCACTCGTGGACGCACGCCAGGGCGACGCGGGAAGAGGCAGGGCCCTGGGGGGCTTTCCCCGCGAGAGGGCACCCGTTAGGAAAGCCCCAGGCAGACTGGGGAGGCTGCAGAAGGGCTCACCCAAGGTCTTAGAGCAGGGGCTGGAGAGGTTCCAGGAGCTTTAGCCAGCCTGGTGCAGAGGGCTGCTGGGCTGGGCTTAGGGTGGGGCCACTGGCAGGCTAAGTCCAGAGAGTCACTGCAGGGAGGTGGCGTGCCACGCCCTGGGGAGTCCAGGGAAGGGGTGAGCAGTGGAACCTTCTAGAGGCCTCAGAGCTTGCGCATGGCCTGGGGTGGGCACAGCAGGCAGAGGAAGAGCCAAGACAGCATCAAGGTCTCAGGTCTAGGGGCCTGCAGAGGCAGGGAGCAGGGGGGCTGGTGTGCGGGTCCCAGGGCGCTCCTTTCTCTGGGTGGGGAGGAAGGAGCCCCCACCGCCAGGCTCACCACAGCCTCTGGAAGGCAGAGAAAGATCTGGCAGTTCTGAGGGGTGGAGAGGACAGGAGCCCACTAGAAAGGCCATAAAGATGGGGGAGCTGGCCAGGCCCCCGAAGGAGAGGGAGGGCCTCTGGAGTGGCTGTGGGCAGCCTGGCTCCCGGATTGTGTCCAGCCTAGAGACAGGCAGCCCGGTGACAGACAGCTCCGGAAGTGCCGAGCCTGGGACGACATGGTCACCACTGGGAGGGAGGCAGGGTGACCCATTGACCGGATGTGCCGGGCACTGTCCCCGTTTTCACAGAGTCCTGCATTCCCGAGCATGCAGGGCCTGGATGTGTGGAGGCCCTGGGGAAGGCGGGTGTTGCAGGAGGCCGGGCAGGCTCTCCGCGGCTGTCAGTGACGGGCTCCGAGTGACGTGGAGGCCGCCGGCAGGCAGTGCTGCAGCACACGGAGCCGGGGGAGGACAAGGCAGAGTCAGATGGGTCAGCAGTGCTGACACAGACAGCAGTCGCACCTCGCACTCCCAGCTGACACGGACAAAGCCCTCACACACGTGATGGCCTCCAAAATCTGACTTAGCCAGCACAGACAGGTGCTGTTGGCGTCTCCTGGGGGACCAGGGACGTGACCTGTCCTGCAGTCTCTGGGGATGGGAGCACTCCCCACCACCCCAGAATCCCCGAGGCCCACTGCCAGGGCCTGCGCCACCCTCCCAGCACGGCTCCCCGGGCGCTACCCCTGCCGCCATCCCTCCAGGGACACGACAAGGTGCACCCTGCCAGCCAGCCCAGCTCTGATGACAAGCACTGGAGGTGGCGGAACAGCCCAGCTCTGATGACA